ATAAGCTACTTACAGTCAGTAAATAAAGTTTAGGTACAGCGATTTTTTTACAATGCGGGCAACTATTTTTTAAATATTTTATTTTTCGCAAATTTTTTATAAAAATATGGTTAATTCTACAACAAAAACCCCAAAAAGTATATGGAAAAAATGTGCGACACCTTCAACAAAAAAATTTTCCAAAAATCAATGGTAAGTCCTAGCTTCCTCATACTTGCACTTTATTATACTAAAATTGAATGGGCTAAAAAACTGCATACTCAAATTTTTTCTAGAGAGCGTAAATAAAAAGTGCAATATTTGAATGAAATTTTGCAGAATTTTCTTTAATTTTGCACAAGGTTTGGAACTTTCCTTTTTGGGGTTTTTGTTGTAGAATTAACCATATTTTTATAAAAAATTTGCGAAAAATAAAATATTTAAAAAATAGTTGCCCGTATTGTAAAAAAATCGCTGTACCTAAACTTTATTTACTGACTGTAAGTAGCTTATCCTCATTTTCGAGCTTAACACCCTAATCTGGAATTATAACAAGAGATTAGCCATATAAAATTCGTCCCTTGTTAATCTGTAATTACAAAATAATCTCAGATTTAACCGATAACTTTTCGGTGTCCATCCTAGTTTTATCGATTGTTTTTGCGAAAGAGAGGAGAAATGCCAAATGTAAAAGTAAACAAAAATGTACGCTAGCAAGTAAAAGAGGTTTGTAAAGGTATTTTTAATAAAATGTTAAGTTAAAATATATTTATATTGCTTATTATAGCAGAAAAACGTGATCTCGGTGACACAGAGAAGAAACATAACTTTTCCTTGAGATGTGAGAATAACAAACACAAGAAATTTGACGGCTAATAATCTGAGATTTGCCTGTGTAAACGGGGTGATTAAAAACGAGCTTTGATTGAGATAATATTGATATGTGAACATAGTTTTAGCTAACTTATGCACAAATCCGAAGACGAAGATAATGCCAAGACGATCACGAACACGAATAAGAATACTAATATAGTTAAAAAATAATACAAATTT